TTTCCAGCTCATCGCTATTATTTTCTCCGAGACAGGCCGGTGCACCTCCTCCACAGACACACAATGTGGATTTGCAGGTTTATAGGGAAATCTTTAATTAACTGTTCACACTCTGGACAGGAAAGTGACCAGGCTGTATTGCTCTAACTGTAGTAGAGAAAACTCAGGCCACATTGCTGGCTAGAGCTATCAGGCAAGGTTGTGCCAGTGTTAGGATTGGTTGAAGAGAAGCACACATCCTTCGACGGGTAAAAGAGCTCCCCTATATGTATTTAAGCTGTTTTGTTAGCTGTTTGCCTGGAGTTTGGCTTTATATTTTAAAATAGCTATGCTAATTTTGTGCAATTGTACATTGCAATATGTTATGTTTATGAATGAGCCCATGCCTCAGTGTAGGTTTGATGAATGACTGACTGTGGAGAAAGGCATTGTTTTGTAGCTCTGTTTACTTTTATTTTCAGCAAATTTAATTCACTTACAAGTAGTTTTGTCAGCATGCTGAAGCTTGTTAATGGAAGTAAAGCAGAAAACTGCACTTTTTTGTGCTTTAGTTTTCATGCCTTATGCAGACATCCCAACTCTCCCGGACGCTCCCGCTGTTAGATAGCGGCTCCCGGCCACCCGGGAGAGAAAAATGTTCTCCTGAAAGGTTTACTCTGCTTTTTTAAGCAGAGTAAACCTTTCCCCGCGATCTGTTTTTTTTTCTGACATCGGGGCCACCGGCTGCCGTCAGACAGAGAAAAAAAAAGGCATAGGAATACATAGCTAGATTTCTATTGGCTATTTCACTTTGCAATAGCTAACAGCAGACTATCTATTGCACCCGCCCACTGCTGCTGTCAATCAGCAGAGGGGGACCTGAAGTTCCCCATTAGGCCCTCTTCTAGTGATTGACAGCAGCTATAGCCAGCTTGCTGTTGGATATTGCAAACTGAAATAGCCAATCGCAATCTAGCTATTCATTCCTATACCTTTTTTTTTCTCTGACTGACGGCAGTCCCAATGCCAGAAAAAAAGAAAGCTGTTTTTTTAGGTGGCCAAGCAATGAAGTTGCAAGGACACCTATTGTATCTGTTCAGATTATTGTTATTATTATTTTTATTATTATTATAATTATTATTATTGCGCCACTTTTTTCAAATGTCTGTAACAAGTTCTCTGTAACTCTAAAACTCATGAAACTTTGCACAGTGCTACAGCCCTGAGCTCTGCAGAGCTTATTATAATATAAAGGTCATAGGTCACATAATGTGGCAGCCATCTTGGTTTTTATGACGATTTTTGTGAACTATTCAGAAACCTGCATCTCCAGAACCGCTAAAGCTACAGATGTACAACTTGCTGTGTGATCTTATGCTTTGCTCTGTTGCCACATGAGCTCATTGTAGCGCTATTGGTCACATGGTTTGGCTGCCATTTTGGATTGTGCAATATTCTGCCAACAACTTAAACTCTGAAACCATTTATCAGAATAACTCCAAACTTTGCACATATGTCCAGGGCGACCTCTTCTACCACGGTTGTAGAAACTGTAGATCCTAAAATCAAAATGGCCGCTGCAAGCCAGTCATGTTAAGATGATGTTATTATTGTTATGGCCTTTTTTTCAAAAGCCTGTTATAAGCGCACTGTTATTCACAAACTGATGCAACTTGGCCCAATGGTAGAACTCTATGCTATGAATAAACTTCTGCAACCTAAAGGTCATAGGTCACATTGCCTGTCATCCATCTAATTTTAAGTAATTAAATTTAGCTACATATTCAAACATCCATTTCTCAGAAACTGATAAAGCTACAGATCTACAAATTGCTGTGTATAGTCGTGGTATGATCTGCATTCACAACTGCATTACAAGTCAATTGGCTACATAGTTCGGCGGCCATATTGCATATTGCATTGTGTCAAAATCGACAAATATTTCTATTATTTTGATGCTCTTTTTTTTAAATGCTAATTATTGCCACACCGTTATGTAAAAACTCATGAAATTTGGCCCAATGGTAGAGAAGGGTGCTGTGTTTAAACCTTGGAAACATAAAGGTCATAGGTCACATGCTCTGGTGGCCATCTTGGTTAAAGCAAACCTATTTTTCAAAATTTTCAAACATCAGTTTCTTCATAACCGCTAAAGCTACAGATATACAAATAACTATATAAGGATATTCTGAGCTGTCCAATCATATTTGTTTATTACAAGTCATGTGACCACATGGTTTGGCGGCCATTTTGGATGGTGCAATATGCTGCAAGCAACTTAAACTCTGAAACCATGTATCAGAATAACACAAAGCTTTCCACATATATCCAGGGCGACCTCTACTACCACGTTCCCACCCCCGCAGATGGGGGGGCAGAGGGCACCTCCCTGAAATGAGAAGGGCACCTCCCTGAAATTGCCTTCTTCAGGTTAGGATCCCTGCATATGAATTCTAGTTTACTTGCATCTCTATTTATTTAAATGCATTCCCCTGCATTTTATTTACATGCGTTAGAATCAGTTAAAATGTGTTTCCTAAAAAACAAATCTAACAAAAATGGACGTGTTATACTGCCATGTACAACACAGGTACACACATGTAGAGACATGTGTTTGTTACCCTATACACTGTACACTGTATCATTTCTTCACATTATATTTATTTAATTTACTGCACAGTAAGGTAGGAATGATGCAACATTTGTAATTATGATCTTATGGGCTCACACAGGTCCAGCTTAGAGCTTTGCATTTCCCCAGGAACACAGGCTATGTCCTAATGAATGGAGCCATGCCCAGCATGTGTGACTGATATCTCTACAGAGATAAACAGAGCCCATCACTCAGAGAGCTATACCTGTAAGATGCCACTCACCACTAGATTAAGTTAACCCTTACAGGGCCATTGCTTCAGGCCAGACTTTTAAAAAATTCTATAAACCAGGGGTAGGCAACGTTGGCACTCTAGCTGTTTTAGAACTACAAGTCCCATGAGACATTGCAAGACTCCCAAAGGCCAATGCCAAAGTCATGACTCCCAGAGGCATAGGCAAGTTGGGAATTGTAGTTTTACCACAGCTGGAGTGCTGAGGTTGCCTACTTCTACTCTAAATGTATCCACCTAGTTCAGAAAAAGAACTTCCAGAAAGTCCCTGTATAATGTAAATAAAGTTTGTTGTTGGAGATTATTGCTGCTATGGACTGCTCCTGTTCCTCTACTCAGTGACCCAGATAGAACCGAGTTGAATAAGTCCATGTTCATTATTAATCTGCGTTACCTTGTATTATCCTTTTGAATCCCTATGCTGTCAGAGTGAGCACCAAAATAATGCTTCCATTGTTAACCAGTCACAAAATGTCCTCTGCCCATCTGTGACCAAAGATCCAGTCACCTCATCCTAAGGCAAACTGTCTAAATCTGAACCAGTGGCTTCTCTTTACTTCTTCACTTACTGGTGGCCACACAATAACTATTATTAGAACTCTAGGAAAAGAAAGAAAGCAAAAAACCTTTCTATTTTTGAGCATCTTTAAGCAACTGGAGTGTGATAAAGTATTCTTAGTGGTAAATGACCCTTATTACACCCGCAAGTAACAGCTGCATCACTCTGTGTATGCAAATAAACTAAGGAACAGCTGACAGGGAGGGGAGAATCGGGACAGTGACTGCTAGCATAGATCATTTTTATCATTAAGATCCATTAAAATAGCTAATGTACTGCCTCATATATAGTGTGTTTTCCTCAAATGAAACATGGAATGTTCAAAGGTCAAATGCAAATTACTTAGACTAGCACTCTAAGCATTATGCTGCTGCTTGCAGTGCTAAGCAGGCCAAGAAGGTGAAATTGAAAATTGTAGACTATTTCTATACTTTGGCCGAGTAGCTGACTGATGAGATGACACAATGGCGTTTAAGCTAAGATTTTGTTTGGTCTAAGTTACAGGGTGGTAATGGGAAAGAAGGACATTCCTAGTACCTTGATGGATTCCTGGGTGGGTATCCACATGTCAGTTCCATTGTAAAGTCACCATGATGTCGCCTAATAAGGTGATACTGGGAGTCGATCATGCATTTAGAGGCGCATTAATCTCTCTGGGAGAGAAGGATTGTCAACTTGCCAGGTCCTTCACAGCTGCAAGTACCTTATCTATTATCGAAAATGCAGCTTATTTGTGTATCACTCAGCTGTAGATCCTCAAATTATCTCTGAATTGGTGCTGACACTGTCCTTCCTTCTGGAGGGTGGCTACTGTTGTTCCCCATGGTCCCTGTGTGTGTTGTAAAGTAGCCACGGCTCCAAGCTCACTCCAGTGATGGAGTACAATTTGACATTTACTTTACTAATTTGTAATGAGATAGTAGTCCATCATGGGAGTGAGCTTGGAGCAGTGACTACTTTACAACACACACAGGGACCATGGGGAACAACAGTAGCCACCCTCCAGAAGGAAGGACAGTGTCAGCACCAATTCAGAGATGATTTGAGGATCCACAGCCAAGTGATACACAAATAAGCTACATTTTTGTTAATAGTTAAAGTACAATTAAACTCTCTTTTTTTTCTTCATATATCTACTGCTAGCAAGACATGACTCCCAAAGACAGATGCATTATGGGATTTGCAGTTTCACCACAGCAGGAGGGCCAGCGTTTGCCCACCCCTGCTCTAAATTGTATACTGTAGCGCTATACACCAGCTGTTCCAGCACCCGATGAATTCTGCAATACATTGGTACAGTCTGTATAGGAGATATCACTAAGATAATTGAGAGGAATGACCCTTCAGTTAGACAAACAGCCATGTGCAATACTAAACTCTGACTGGCTGCTATAGGTATATTGCCCTTGGCACATCTTTGTTGTCTGCTCTACCTTATAAATTAAGCTCATGTTTAATTAATATGATGTAGACTTTAATGCTGAAAGAATACATTTCCAATCATTTCTACAGCCATTGTCTGAATTAGTGTTGCTATATGTGTGGCTAAATCTGTCTATTGATGTTTCCAATTCTAGGTAACCATGAAGAACAGCAGAAGGAGGGAGGGATAGTCTCAAAGAACTTTACCAAGAAGATTCAGTGAGTACTTTGTTAGCTGATCACAGCTAGTAGAAGCTGCTGACTTCTTGTTCAGTGTCATTTAGCAAATGCCAGCAATGATCTCTATCAGCTTGTGCTATTTAAAGCTGCATTCACGATTATATGAAGTATTAAGATGACAGCAGGTCATGTGCTAGTAGCGCTATGCAAAAGCTATACATCATCATTTCCTTCCATTAACATCCTGGTAAATGGTATGGTTATTGACACATCTGCCCATCTCCTGTCTAGGCTCTCTCTGTTTAGATCATCGCTGCTACAATTTTTAAGAGAACACAGGTGAAAGAGACAGAAGCTTGAAACTAGGAACATAAAAGTGCTTCTTCTAAATCTCTATTAAACTTGATCTGTTGACAGCACTTTAAGGTATCAAAAACATAAAAGAACAGTAAAGTATATACCATAGGCACAGAGAATTGTATTATAGCTTATGCAACACAGTAAGGGCTCATTCATAGAGCTGTGTATTCAGAGTGCATACGGTATGTTTTTATTTGAGTTTTCAATTACAATTTTAGCTCTACAAGGGTTTTCATGGTTTTTGTGTGCTTTATGTACAGTACTTATGTGTGTTTTGAAGCAAAGGTGCATAAAAGCACACATAGGAGCACCAGATGTAAAAATCTACCGCAGAAATGATACAATTCTTAAAAACACAGGGCCCATCCAGACATTGAGCATTCTTTTGACACACTTCAACATTTGGCTGTATGTGTGGTGTCGTTCTATTCATTGTGAATGGCACCCCAATTCACTGTACAGTAGCTGCCTATGCACAACGCATGGCAACGCACTTCAATGCACATACCATGCATTGTGGTATGATGTGCTAGATCGTGAAGAAAAGTAAATGTATGTTAATTGGTCTGCTGAGGTGCTTAATGAATTTCCTTCCTTAACTCAAAGCACATTAAGATACAAGGAGTTTGCATGTTCTCCCTGTGCTTCCGTGGGTTTTCTCCGGGTACTCTGGTTTCCTCCCACACTCCAAAGACAAGCTGGTAGGTTAATTGGTTCCTGTCTAAATTGGCCCTGTATGTATGCATGTGAGATAGGGACCTTAGATTGTACGCCTCTTGAGGGCAGGGACTGATGTGAATGTGCACATGTAACTTGTACAAGTAGAAGATCACCAGCACTCAGAGGATTTCATCAAATTCTTGTGTACATTTATTGTGAAATAGCATCACGTATATCCAATAGCCAACATTTCAGGGCCAGGCAGAGTCCCTTCATCAGGGCAACATGTCACTATGTCGCCCTGATGAAGGGACACTGTGTGGCCCCGAAACGTTGGCTATTGGATATACGTGACTCTGTTTCACAATAAATGTACACAAGAATTTTACAAAATCTTCTGAGTGCTGGTGATCTTCTACTTGTACAAGTTTGACATGCTTGGCGCCATCCGTGATTATCACTGTGAGCACCACATTAAACGATTGTAAGCGCTATAAGGAGTGCAGGGGACACATCTGTACACTGTACACATGTAAAGCACTGCATAAATTGTAGGCGCTATATAAATACCTGTAATAAGTATATAAATAGACATAACATCAAATGTTACATAACATCAGTGTGCGGTATTGCACCACAACAGACCAGATACATCTGAATGGGCATTTAGAAAACCTGTCATGAAATAAATCTTAGTGCTTCCATTGCTGTCCTAGTTCAATGGGGATAGCAACATTAGCAACAAACTCTTTACCATTAACTCCCTTTCAAAAACTAGAGGGCACCACCTAAAATTGGTGGAAAACAAATTCCAGCACAAGAGGCGAAGGGGGTTCTTCATAGTTAGAGTGATTAGGGTCTGGAACTCGCTGCCACAAGCGGTGATTTCAGCTAAGAGTGTGGAATCAATCAAGAAGTTTTTGGACGATTTCCTGAGAGACCGTAATATACAGGAGTACAGGTATTCTTAAGAACGAGGTGATACATGGACCTATACATATGCACACATCAGCAATAGGTTGGACTTGATGGACTTATGTCTTTATTCAACCTCAAATACTATGTAACTATGTAACTAAGTCCAAGCATCTTGACAGTGAAATTGCCTTAAGTCTTCAATTAAAAATTTGGAAAGCATTGTCCTGAAAGTAACGCATGTGAATGATCATTAGATAAGAAATTAGGTATCAGTAAATTGGGCTGGGTTCAGTTGACAGGCCATTCATCTAACACCTCAATAAGTCTGCAATCTGCAAATGTTTATTCAAACCCCATTGAAGCCAATAGGGGCCGAATCTTAAAAATCAATTCTGACCACTTTTAAGGCAAGTAGGGAAGAGATTGTCAAACAAAGGGCATGGGGAGCTGGGCACTGCTATTGAGAACATGTACTGTAAAAATGTTAAAAAACACTATACAGGGTCCTCTCTTTCTATGTGACTTCAAGGGCGACATGGGAAAAACACCAATCCTTTCCATTACACGCTTGGTGGATGCCTTTAAGCTGTATGTGGTGTTACAAAGCAGTTCGATTTGCAAGGACAGCGTTAGCGACATTGTATTCTGGTATCACAGATTTTGTTTGGCTAAATATGGCAGCAGAATCTTAATCCAATCCATTACAACTTCAAAGCAAAATGCATTTTAGGTTGTTTTGGCTGTGACACATGACTTTTTTAACCATTAGAAAAAGACCTGAATTGAGTGGTAGAAGTAATGTGTACCACCACTAGGGTTTGGCAGAAGCACCTCACTGAAACAAGTCGAAAGCAAAAGGCACATCCTCCACATTCTTCATGGACACATAGCAGTTTCTTTTAGAGTGGTGCTATTTCATTATTTTCCTACTTCTCCTCCTGAATGGTGCAGGAGTGCATAACAGTCCTTATATCCTGAAAACTTCTAAGACATCCTGTTCCTCTTTCTCAAGGGCGCATAGCAGCCATTTATTGGAGAACTGTTAATACATCCTTTCCTCCTCCTCCTCCTTCTCCACCCCCTTCTGCGAATCCTGCCTCTCAGAGTCCATGAAGGTGAAATACATTGGAGTTAATAGGGAAGGCAAAGTTAATGTGGTTTTTGGTGGTTTGCATGCCACATTTGCCTTTAAATGGCTTCTAATGCTTACAAAAGCCTCAAAAAGAACAAAAAGTTATCTGCCACATGTTGTGGTTTCTCCAACCGGCTTGTATGTCACAGTATGTATAGGACATAGAGGAACCACATAGTGCAGGGCAGGTAGCAAGTGTCTTACCCACCTAAATTGCCAAATTCCTACAGCAACAACAAAATCACTCCTCTCGTTTCTAACTACAGCTACCAGTTTGACTTAACGTTTCATTAACATACAGCTGAATAAAGAAAAAATCATAATAATAATAATGAGCAAATATATATTTTTTTAAATATGATTGTCTGCTGCCTTCTGGCCATTCATTCACTGCAAACATAAGCACAGATGACACAAGGTATAAATGACTTGGTGCTATCGTAAAGTTTCTGACTGCAGAGGATCTTTCTAGAAGTCCTTGTATGGTTGAAAAAGTTTGATGACGGATTTGGCTTTTTGCCATGAGCCTAGCTGATTCCCCTTTCTTCTGCTTACAGAACAGAACTCCAAGGCACGCAGTCTAGATTAAACATAAAATTACAAGGATGTGTAAAGCAGACGCTTTGTCAGTTTATTTATATAGAGGTACAGTGCTTGAATACGTGTGATGGACTCGTGTGCTCCTGCAGTTTATGGCAGATTAGTAGGGTCCTGCGAGTAGTTTGGTACAAATTGAGTATTATAAACATTATAGTTTATGAGTCACCTTTAAAACAAATGTTTGAACACACAGAGCAGTTTACTAACTAGAAAAAGTTACACATTTTTTGTCCAGGTCTGATTACTGTAATACCAAACTGAATAGGCACAGCCATGGTGAACAATGATCTGTAGTGATGCCCCATTGATGGAATGATGACCCTAGTTTAAAAACATTGTAGTGTGTTTTGAAGTCAGAAACATATAGACATCCTGCTTAGTCATGGGTACCGTAGCCAGTGAGCCATACAATGGTTTTCCAGCAGGGAAGGAAGCCCATTAGGAGAAGCAGTTTCAGTCAATAAGCATGCCACCAAGCATGCACTGATCGGTGAATTACATGTTCATGTGATATCTACAAAGCAAAGTAAACTGTTAGCTGCATGTGCCGGACATCTGTTTTAAAAAAAAAACTCCAGGCAAAATTTAAATTAACCCTTGCAGTGAGGCTATCCCTGCATTGCAAGGGTTTAAGTGCTTGTTTTGGTCTAGGGAGGAAAATAACAAAGTTATAGTCACCCGATCCTCGATGAGGGCTGACTGTGACGGTGCTCCCTCCTGCTTATCTCCTCCGCTACAGGAATGGTAAGCCCCTCGGCATCCTCACATCCTATACAGAGTGTATAGAACATGATGACTCCGAGCTGCAGCGGAGGGGGAGAGTGACTGGGAGGACCAGTCTAAGAACAAGCAAGCTCACTATACCAAAATTAGAGTTTTATTAACCCTTGCAGTGGTACCTTCTTTAAAGGCTGTGTGTACTGTACAAGGTACATTCTAAATTCAAAGTGAGCTTTTAAAAGCATATAGGGAACACAGACTACCAGCTTTGAGTTTCATGTAAGCATAGCTGTTGTACAGCAGGTCACCCCACTACTTAAAATAAATGTATCCCCTACCTAAATGACATTCAGTTTGCGTAAGCACTGTATATTACAAACAACTGTTTGTTCTCTTTTTAATAAAATACTTTTTTTTACATTTTCATCTTTCTTTTGTTGCATTTCTACACTGCTACATGTTACTTTTCAGGGCAGGTTTCCTGATCCTAGTAGCCTTTGACCATGTCTGTGCTATGTTAGTTGTATACTTGTAGTCTCCATTGGAATAGTGTGTGATCATAGGAGCCTTTGACCATGCCTGTGCTGTGTTAGTTGTATACTTGTAGTCTCCATTGGAATAGTGCGTGATCCTAGCAGCCTTTGGCAAT